CTCATGGCAAAATGGCTGAATTTCAGTTTTCAGAGAAGTCTCCTGTTCCCATCTACTCTTAACCTCTCTCACTAAAAAAAACTCTCTCAAATAGCCCCAAATCACTGGTTTGGGGACAAATTTCAGCCCATTTTTTCCCCTTTTTCAGTATTCTAAGGGTGAGGATGGAAGGCAAAAATTCAACTCCCTCAACCCTCCAGCTCCGGAAAACAGCCAGAAAATGTTAAGAAAAATAGTAATTTGAGGCAATTTAGGTTTGGAGGAGGGGAACAGTTTGCCTTATAAAGGCCTTCCTAAAACCAACTAATCATCCAACCAACCACATATAAACACATACACTACAATAGATGGCTGAAAACCTTTGGCCCCTTTCTGGTTACACTGCCACATTACTGGATGGCTTCCTGTGAACTTCCAGAAGGTCAGGAGGCTGAATTGAAACCTCTGTTTTGTCAAATGCTACCTATCCTGAGACATGAGGTGACATTTTTTTAATGTTCCCCAGCATTAACATTTGCCTGCACTCAGGAGGAAATTGTATTGGGACAAAGGGATGAGCTAGAGACTGAGGCTAATTTTCAATTGTCAAACATACTTTTGCACAAGCTTACATTCCAAGTTGGTATCCTACACATGTTATTTGAAGTAATAAAGTCCATGACTGCCACTTTCTATTTTACTCTCCTTTCATTCTGCTGGATATATAGACTAAAGTATTCTTGATTTAAAATTGATAGTTCAGTCTACAGTATTTGTTTACCAAGGCACTCTTATCAGTTCATTAATCTTTTCATTCCCCTCCAGTTCTACATTTTCAAAATATTTTTGTTGTACATAAAAGAGAACTGGTTGCAGGATTATCTCTTCTGTGTGCCTTAGTCCATAGTTCTTAGCGTGATGGTAAATTATTAAGCTTTAGTAAACTCTCCTGACTAATGCTGTTCTTTTCTTAACTACTGCCAGTAGAAAAAGGAGCTGCATTTTAACCTTCCTTTGTACTGCCAAAGTGTTCTGTTTTAAGTTGGTGTGCTTTATAAGAATGCTTTTTTCCCATTGGTTTAATGAAAATATAAATTCAATTTTAAATTGTCTAAAGACTTATAAACTGATCAGTAGTTCTTATGAATGAAAACTATCTGCAAGGCTGCAGAAAGAAAGACATTTATTTCTCCATGCCAACCCTCCCATTGTTTGTGTTAAGGCTCTGTGTGTTAGTTCAGTCTTGGAAAGGCCAGTTGTTATGATGTGAGTAGTGTACTCATGGTTTTGTTTTATTCACCCATGGGCATCTCTGGGTTTGATAACAGTTGTAAATATGTAATATTTCTTTTTGTCAGGGGATGAGGATGTATTATTTTGAAATTATCTCTCTTTCGTCCTAAAAAATTTCTGTAATTCTGAATGAATTGAATCCAGACAAGGAAGTAATTGTTCCCCTCCATTCTTCATTTTGAATATTGTGTCCATTTCCAGTTGTGACATTTTGAGAAATAAAAAAAGTTAATGAGGATGATCACGAAGCTGGAAACTAAGCCACATGAAGAGAGCTTGAAATAACTGAGATTGTTTAGCTTTGGGAAGAAAAGATTGAGGTAGGCATATAATCACACACTTTAAATTTTTGGAGTGGTGCCTAAGAGCAGAAGGTGAAAACCTGTCCTATTCTCTGTCATCCCTAAATATAAGACAAAGGATAATGGTCTTAAGAAACAAGACTGATTTTGACTGATGTTAAGAAAAACTTCTAAGGTATTTATTCCAAATCTGGACATATATCTGGATGAAAAAGAATCCAGATAATCAGCTTCCAAGAGAACCTGAAGTTTTGATGCCACTGTACGCTCTAAGACTTGACTCAAAAAGGTTTGATTTGAGACTGGTCAAAAATGTATGGTGATGATAGTTAATGACTATTGTTTAAACAAAAGTCTTACTCTTACTTTCTTAAAGGGACTGGAACATGTTCCCCTGACAAAGAAAGATTTCTAGTATGCATTTAGGCAGATGTTCTCTAGCATTCCAAGAAGTTATATACCTCCAAGCTACTTATTTACATGATCGGTAATTGAACTAAAATTCTTCTGTCAGTCCTTCTTGCCAGTATTATCCAATGTAGAGTTTAGATCTAAGGAGAGTTGAATTGGTTTTTTTCAGAAAAAATACCCTGCAAACATATCACAACAGGGGTTCAAAAGGTTCCTTACTATAGGGGGGATTTAAGTATAATAATCCCTTAATCATTTCACGTAACTCAACCCAACACATAGACTAATGCAGGGAAGGCAAAGAAGAAATATTTACAGTGGGGCAAAAAAGTATTTAGTCAGCCACCAATTGTGCAAGTTCTCCCACTTAAAAAGATGAGAGAGGCCTGTAATTGTCATCATAGGTATACCTCAACTATGAGAGACAAAATGGGGGAAA